ACACACACACACACACACACACACACACACACACACACACACACACAAGTACACACACACATCATGTCAAAGTTGAAAGTACAGAAGACATTTATACTAGGGATAAAAACAACAACACTTCATTACCTTTGCTGTATACATACACTCACACTCTGCATTCAGCACATCCTTAATTATGTTAGGAGCAGCCAGTGCCTTGCTCAAGGACACTTCAACATGCTAAGACAGTTTGAGCCGGAAATGGAACCGTCAAAATTGGGGTTAAAAGACCAACCCGCTCTACCCACTGAGCCACCTGGACTAGGGATGCACTGATCATTTGCATCACAAACTATGGCCCAAAACGTGGACATAAATTTAAATGTAAAACTAAAAATTGAACACAACCTTCATGCAGGTGTAGGAGTTATTACTGCAGGGCTGTTGTAGTGTAACGCATTAGTTTCAGCAAGGTGTGCCTACAGTAATACACTGGAAACTGAATGTAGTGTTAACTTTCAGCAGTAAAATGCATGCGCCATGAGTAACGTACTCATTCTCCTTCAGGCTCCTTAAGGACTTATGAATGAATTACTCTGTGTGCAATATTTCTGTTTTGCTGATCCAACAAACTACCAAAGTGTCAGGTAACCACAACAATCCTCTGACGTTAGCATGGTTTTGAGTGTAATGTTAAAACCTTAACGTGCACGGAAGCTTCTCCTTCGGTACAGTGGCTCTGCACGTCAAGAAGCACGACGTTAAGTCAGTTTGAGCAGCTAGTTAGCCAGCTAGCTGTCTCTGCTAGCTGTGGAGTTGTGTTCCAGGCGGAGGGAAACTGAGTGAAGCGCGACGGTGAAAGAATAACACGACGGTCCCACTCACCTTACAGCGCGTGAACACTTTCAGGTGCTCCTGGTTAGAAAGTGCGCAAATAAAAACAAGGAAATGAGATCAGTGAGAGGAGATGCCGCATAATACTTTACATGTTTAACTTCCTGCTTGTGACAGCGCGGTGTCACAAGTTCAACTGTTCGTGTACAATCGATGGCAGGACAAAATAAAGGTTCCTACTCCATACTGAGAAGTTGAGCAACTTCTGTGCAATGATGTGGGTTAATACATTCATATTTGTTTAAAGCTGGGTCTGGTATTAGATATCATTCAGATTTTTGAAGATATATTTTTTAAAGAGGATTAAGTCCTCACACTGGCGATTATAATGACGCTGTTAACTTCAATTAAGGAAGAAGTTCCCGCATACCGACACAAACACTTTCACATCAACCCAATTTATGTTTCATATATTTAATTTATAAACAAATGTAATCACTTAAAGCCCAGACTAAACTTATACTAAATTCAAATAGCTAAACTGTAAACATTTTGGTAGATGATCTATGAATAATGAGTCTGCACGTATGTTTGTCTTTAAACTACATCTTCTCTTGTCTGTGTTCAATGAAGTGATGATTTTGTGTTTATAATTGTAATTTGTTAGCAACGTTATATCAAAATACACTAAACTCACCCAACATCTCAAACTCTATTTATTTCAACTGAATAGTGTTGAAATAGACATGCAAATAATCATGCTTGTATTCGGCATACTTATTCCCTGCTCCCTGCTCCGTTTATGTTCTTGATGAATCAGCTATAGCATTTGTGTACATTCATGCATTATTGTTGTACATAAATGGAATCAGGAATCATTTTAGAGCATTTGTTTACCATACTAATTAATCTCAGAGGATATACAATAAGTATAAAGATGGGATCTGTGTTTCCACATGTTTATTCATCTCATTCGTTGACAGATGTGCACAGAATAGAAGACATAGAAGTACCTGTAGGAAAGACACATTAAAAGCCTGTTGTGTTTAAATGGACAAAAGGTCATTTAAAAACAATTAGCACACACAGTGATTAGTAGGAAACAGAAGAAATTACAAGGGAATGGAAGCTGGGATCAAAAGACTCCTGAGGTGCAGAGAGAGGACTGAAGACCTGAAGACTTGAGCTCTTATCGTCTGTAAACTCAGGGCAGTACCATATTCTGGAATTCTAGAGGAAGAAAAGCATGTTGAATTGTGAATCATCTGCAGAAATAATTACTTACGGTGGTGGTCAACAGTTTTTGGATTGTCCAAATCCTTTATCCTATTGATATTGCTGGTAACTGGACGATAGGCAAAAACTGGGAGTAGCATCTGGACGCTATGACGTTTGGTGTCAATGCGGATGGTTTCTATACTGATTAACTTGACACAACACGGATCCTCAAGATACTGTACCATTCAATTTCGTACTCTCTGCTGCAAATAAACATCGAAGGAAACACTTTATGTTAACTCTGAGTTCAAAAGATGCATTCAACTGAACCTCGACAGTAAAAATGTTCAAGTTGTTGCTGTTATTTTGTATAGTCAGTCCTTTGTTTACTGTAAGTAAAGAAGCATGAGGACCGGCACAGAGACGACATTCAATACAAACTTTTTTTTTGCATCAGGAGCAAATCGCTCAAAATCTAAACTGCATGATCCTCAGAATTAAATAAGCTACCTCCTCTGTTGACACAGATTATGGTTGTTGGACTTGAGATCATTTCTGCCGACATCACGAGTTTGTACAAACACAATGTGAGAAATTAGATACCGACCCTCTGCTCCAATTTTGCCGTCACTGTCATCATCAGCCCCTGATATGAAACTCTTGGTTTCTGCCTCGGTCAGTGTCCGCGCCCCGGGGACAAATCGCTGCAGGAAGTACCTTGACAGACACACACACACACACACACACACACACACACACACACACACACACACACACATATGTGCTGTAATTATCAGAGTCAATTGTGCACTTTAATAAGCACATAAATGCACCAATTCCTAAATTGCACGGCTCGGGCCGATCCTCAGATGGAATTAGAAAACACAAAGGCAATAATAACACTTTGCCCATTAACAGATTATCACGAGACGGCTTCATGGTGCCATCCCAATAATACTACTACCACCAATATTTGATTGTTTCCAGTGCATTACTCTGTTTACAGTGACTCAAGGTACAAAATAATTACAGCATCAGCATCAGGATGATGTATATGCGGGTAAAGGCATCAAAGTTTTAGATTGATCATGTCTCACAGAGAACAGTTATACATCCGGTCATTGTCTCACACACTTGATCTCAGACTCCTCGATGAAGCCGCTGTTGTCATCATCGAGGATCTTGAAGACATCTTTGACTTCCTGGGGTGTCTTTGAGGACAGGCCACACAGCTGGAAGAACTTTTTGTAGCAGAATGAGTCCGGAGCTGGAAACACACACACACACACACACACACACACACACCCACACACATAAGAACTGAAGTAAAAATAGGGTTAGGGCTGACCCACGAGGTTTAGCAGGTTGGGAGCTGATGTGGAGATTAAAACAGCATGTGGCTGCTGTCCAGGTGGGAGATTTTCCACCCCTGTTTTTATCTTTTAAGTCCAATAGGCACATGCCTCCGCTAAAACAGACAAGATGATTGAAAACCTTTTCAAATTCAGTTAAAGCTGGATAAACATTTGGTGGAGAGGATACTGTAGAATATTGAAAACAAGCAGCCGTAGAGAAGATTTAGTCGGAGAGTGTTTTGAATATCCGAGAGTGACTGGATGCTACACAGATTCTGAGCAGGTTGATTTATCAATTGTGGATTATTTAGTTAGTGAGAGATAAAGCTGTTAATTCTGTTCAGGTGCTGTCATGTTGAAGTGCATGGATAAGTCATGTATTCTGCATAATTTCCTTGCTGGTATTCAAATGAAAAATAACTTAGATTCAAACATTGGTATAGGGCAGGTTGTCTCTCTCTCTCTCTCTCTCTCTCTCTCTCTCTATATATATATATATATATATATATATATATATATGTGTGTGTGTGGAGATGCTACCTTCACAGTCCTTGACAGCCTTTTTAATGGCCTCAGCTGAAAGAATGGAGGTGAGCGACATGTTGGTCCTGTATGTTCAAAGAAAAGAAAATATATTTTTATTATTATTTGTGTCATGCTGGATTAACCTACTTTTGAAAGATGTAACAGATGTGTCTAGGTTAATATTATGATCCCATTGAAACGAAAGTCATGATTGTTTGGCAAATATGCTGAAGTTGTCAGAATAAAATGTAGAGAATCACCGAAACCGCAAACTTCCTGGTTGGTATTTGGCACTTAGGGACTGTACAGAAGTTATTGGGGTGGGAAGGGGGGTGAAGCTTATATATATCGACAGTGTTGCATATTTGGTCCATTCTCCTAAAAAGACAAACATTTTCACCAGAATAAAGGAAAAAAATATAAATCTAGCATCAGAAAAGGTTTCCCTTGCTCTGAAAGTCAGACTTGCCTTGCTTGTGTAAACATCTAAAACATACATAACTTGTTCTGACCCCCTGCCACCCCTAACAGTTTTAGTACAGTAATTTAAAGCCCGAAGAGTTCAAATAGTGTTTTTATATATGCCTATAGTGTTTTATATGTGTTTATCACCTTATAAGAATCACTTATAGGAATCACATGCTTAGTGAGCTGAAAACAAATCCTATTATTGACCAAATATGAAAAACTTGTATCAAGTCATTAATTGCTCAGCTTCTTTTATTCGATAGTTTGGAGAATTTGGTGGAAATAAAGTCGGGTAACGAAGAATTTCAGACGAGGCTAAACGTTTCTAAAACGTGCATAAAAGTGAAAAATGAAATAGTATAGGCTATGATTTCACTGCTGGCTCCGAGAGGAGGCAGGGAGCCCCCCCCCCCCCAACCTCCCTCCCGTGCATCTGTGGGACTCACCGCTGTTGGTTTGGGGTCCTCTCCGGCTTCAGCTTCAAAGCAGCAGCAGCAGCAGCAGATAGATAAGGCTGACAGCTGGCTCCGTCTTATATACGCCGAAGGATGCTTGAGTTTCCAACCTGTCGCGGATCAAATGTTTCCGCAGCCAGCCGCCTCCTTCTCTTGTTCCTCGCTTGCCAATTAACCTGCGCTGTTTATATCTGCTGTGCACTGACTGATATCTCCTTCCGTCTCACCCTTGCTGTCATAAAGTTGTCCGATCAATTATTTCCTAAATC